GAAAAGAAGAGAAAAAGGTCCCAGGAAGCCAGCATGGGGGGGGGGGGAGGGAAGGAAGCATGAGAGTGGGGGATTAGAGAAGAGGGCTAAGGGAGAAAAAAAGACAAGATGGACAAATATACCTAGGATGCTGAGATCTACAGCCCAAGAACCCGGGAGGTTCCGCACCTGTGAGTCAGAGGGCCCTCAGGAGAACTGTTGTCTCTTTTGTCACTGTCACCAGGGCCAATGTTAATGGACTTAGAGACTGAAGATGTAGGAGAACTTTGGGGTCACACCTTCAGGAAAACCTTCATGGTTCAAGAGATTCACCTGTTTGTTACTCCATTGTTATTGTACTTATTTGAGGTTCCCAGTTAAACTGTTTAAATAGCCAAACAATTTCCACATTTTATACATAGTTTAATTTTATGTATAAATGTCAGTATTATTCTACCTCATAGCATATTTATCAAACAATTTCCACATTTTATAGTTTAATTTTATGTATAAATATCAGTATTATTCTACCTCATAGCATATTTATTGATAAATACTTATGGTATGACATTATTGACGTACATAGTTGCTGCATTAATCCTATTTTGATATTACAGTGATCTGTTGATTGCGCAATAAAGATGTTGTCCTGTCCTGTCCACTAGAAAAAAGTAACTTTGGGGTCTTCACGTTCACACATGCCCACCAAACTGATTAAGTTTATGCTGGGTAAAACATGTTAATCTACAAAGTGCTGTAAGACTTTTTGTCATACTCTAAAAAAGTAGGACTAGGTAAAAGATGGAATGGAACAGGATGGAACGTGGACTTTTTAATAAAAATTGTTGCTACAAACAGGAGGATAGCTTGGATAAACAATATTTTAGACCTGAAACCCTCTAGCTGGATAGGGTAGGTTAATTTGGTTGGACTGGCTTACTCGTAAGTCTCCGCTCTGTCCTGCTCTGAGCTGTTTTTTGCAATTTTGATTTTCTGTCTAAAACAGGTACAGTACTAGTTTTAGGGAGTGTACTATGGGGGATTCCATCAGTCCTCTCTGGTTGGGTGGTTCTACTGAACTTAATTAGGCTATCCTACTCACAAGTCCCAATTCCAGACTGTTTTTTCTGTCCAGAACAGATACTGGAATGTTGTTCCTGGAGATGATTTGTGTCTTGCTGCATTCGTCTCATCTAGTCACACGTGTGTTGTGGATTTGGCTGGACTATCCTACTTGGACGTTGCCATTCTGGATCTTTGTGTTCCATTCCAGCTTGCTTTGGGGCAATAAAAGGATGATGAAAAAGTAATATTCATTAGGTTTGAGGCCTAAAATATTGTTTTTATATTTGTTCAGCTTATTTCACTGTTTTTGGCATCAATTTTTAAGATGTCCCCATTCCATTCTTTACCTAGTCCCCCCAAAAGTAACTTTTCCAAGTTCTGGTCATGGTGCCTTTTTCCAAAACTGGATGGGCTATTCCATTGACTTGCATTTAAATTCATTCCATACTTTAGTTAATTTTATAATTGTTTGGTGATGTGGTTTTTCATGAAGGGGGTGTGATAGTGGCCCAAACAGCAAAAGGCAGTTCAACGATTGAATTATTTCTTTTTGTGAAGGACATTGTGTTGTCTGTGTTGACTCTAGAAAGAATCGCATCAGTGTCCTGTAAAATGGATGCCAGTTTGATACAGTGGTTTCAGTGTAGAATATGGCAGTTAGAGTGTGAACAATAGGTGCCCGAGGCCAATGGCTCATTCTCAGCTTGGCAGCACTTTCAGGGTTGATGGGGATGGCAAATATCCTCCAAACTGTGTCTTGCTATATTTCCAGGTTTTGGGTCACAATGTATGAGGGTTGAGGGGGATGTGAAGGGGATTGCATATTCGCTGCAATTACTGTAGTATGTTTCCTTTCCAACAACTAGGTCCATGTGTCAACCCATGTTTGCCTTGTGGTGATCATTTTCAAGGAAAGGCATTCTAAAATGCAAGACTCAGAGCTGAGCAGAAGCACCTGTTAGGACACCCAGACCCCTCGAATGAGCCCCATTTCTAAACATGTATGAAGCCTATCGTTTGTTTCCAATGTACATCTCCACCGGTGTAGATTACTATGCCAGCATGGACTCTTTGCTCTCTCCTCCAAGAGGAGACAAGCAAAGGAAGGGGGGGTGAGACTAGAGGGTCTCTTTATTAGGCCAGCCTACCCCCAGCCAGACCTCTTTCTTCGTTGACAGCCCACCCACCCATCCTTTGTCCAGTGTGGCTGGGGCAGTCACTTTGGGGCCAGATGGGAATTTTGGACTTGTCCCACTTAATTGGTGTTGAAGGTAGACAAATGGATTTTTGCTTCGCCCACACTGACTACCCATGGGACGATGCAGGGCAGTTTTAGAGGGATGCTGCATTTTAAAAAGGCACACTGGTGGTAGTGAAAATTGGGATGTGAGGTCTGGGGAGTTATCAAGAGGCACACAGGGTGCTATTATGCCCGGCGTGACAGCAGCCAGGATCCAGAGATTTGTTGCGGGGATGAAGGGAGCTTGGGGAGGGCATCCCTGGCTGCCTGTCTAATTTCAAGAGGTTTGGGTGGTGGGTGGGTGGGGAGGCTAAGTACGAGACTTACCCAGTAGGGGTAAGGGGTACCTCAGCACCTGCCCCAGGGACTTGCACTATGTTCAGCCCCCGCTGCAGGATGAGGGACATTGAATTGATACTTTCAAAGTGTGGTCCAACTCCATCACCTGTGTCCATCTCTTTATTTCAGAGAGTCTCTTTCACCTGTAGTCAATGTTAGCAGGAGCCACTGCTGGCATTTTTTCAGTCTTATATTCAGGCCAACACATTCACTCCCCTCAGATGCGTGGGAAAGAGCAGAAGCTGGATGAGTCCTTCTGCACATTTCTCCAGTCGATGATGACTTATTAATTGGCTCAGTTCTCTTTTATTTCCACAGGTTGCTGGGGGCTTTATTGCCCTGATGAAGTGCACCCTTCTGTAGGAGGATCACTGTCTGTGTCCTGTCAATATAAACAAGGCCTTGAAAAGTATTCTAAATTTTGGTGCAAAGAGACTGCCAGGATCTATTGTTCTGCATTAGTTAAATCACAATCAGATGGAAAGGGGATAAAGCAAAGGATATCTATCAGAGATAATAAAGAAAAGCAGTACTTTGAAGTGATCATGAGAAACCTGACAAAGGAAGATTCTGGTGTTTATCGGTGTGGTATCGATGACAGTCTACTGCTATTCAGAGACTCCACCTGCAGAATTCATGTGGCTGTTTCCCCAGGTAAATGCTTCTCTTTCACTCCTGACAGTCATGATGCAAAGTTGTAAACACATGTATACTGCTGTGCAAGGGGAAGATTAAACATTTCTAGAACTTGAGGGGCACGCTCTTCTCTTTACACCCTTGCATGTGGAACGTTGTTTTACTGCCTGGAACGATCACCACATTTCTGGTTGATCCTGTTCTGCTTCTGTCTTTAGCCCCCACCTTAGATCCAGAAGAAGAGCAAACAACTTCCAAACCGACTGAAAAGCTGCAAACTACCAAGCGACACAAAAAGCTGGCGCCCACTGAACCACCAGACTCTGATAGCTTCACAGAGGGCACAAGCGAATCCAGCTCTTTCTCTGCTTCCACAAGGTGTGTCCTGTCAGCCACTCTCTGTGGGAAAATACAGGCAAGGTCTGTCTCACAGTCCCGGTTGCCATTTTGGAATCGAAAATATTGCTTGGGTAATCTAAACAACGCACTCCTTATTGTGTTACATGCAGTGCCATAGTCTGAAAGTAAGACAGTGCTCTGCAATTAGGTTTCAGAGTGAAAGGGCTGCATTTCCGCCCACACCTCCAGCATTACAGTGATGCTTGATCATGCATGTCAGTGTTATAATGACTGAAATACTCATCTATGCTGTTCACTCAGTAACATCTGTCAATTAGGCCTCATTGTCCACATTCTTTGATCAATTTCTAATCATTTTCTAGGTTCTTTGTGAGAATGAGACTACTTGCAGCAATAGCTGTCTTGCTATTCCCGCTTTCCAACAATATAATTATGTTCCTGGGAGACAGAACCATCACTGATCCTGCGTGTAGCATATTATGTCATGTTGTCCAGGTTCTGAAAAGGAGTGCCGATAATAGAAGGCTTTTAAAAACAATTGGCCAAAATCCTGTTAGTGCTTTGCACATAAATTACGTAACTCACTGCAGCAAATGGCCGCTAAGATGCTAATTTTTGTTATCTTGTTCCTTTCTTCCATCTTGGATCATTGTTTACTTAGTAATAAAGTGTTATGATTTTAAATTGTTATATGATATGTTGTTAGCCACCCAGAGTAGTCTATATGACTAGATGGGTGGGCTATAAATAAATAAATAAATAAATAAATAAACAAACAAACAAACAAACAAACAAACAAACAAATGTTACCACCTGCTCCTCAAGGAGGTTACTAGATGCATGCCACATAACATAACCAGAAACTCATTATTTATTACTAACTTACCACAGTGAGTTATGCAATTTAACTCATTGCAGGCATAAATTGCAAACAGGATTCTGGCCCGTAGGAAACACTGTAAAACATCAATCACTGTTGGAGAGAACCTGTACATGCGTCTAAGTAACCAGATACATCACATTTGATGTAAAAGCAGAGGTGAAATGGAAATACCAGGTCGCTGTTCAGGATCAGTAGATAGATAGAAAAGATGGAGAGAAAATAAGACAAATTCAAGTAAAAGAGGTGTTATTGTGCGACAGGTAGGTTTTGCCCCAAATTCATTTCTTCCTTCTTTCTTTGCCACTGGCACAAACGTTAATAGAAAAATCAAAGAAGGAGGGAAAGGCCTGGATCTTTTTATCAGATGTAATTATGCACAATTAAATCTTATGTTATTAAGTAGCAGGTATTCTTTACAGATCACAGAACTGATCACAAAATTAACTTTTATTCCAATTAAAGAACTGGCTTAACAATCCACTGAGCCATGTCATACCTAATCATGGCACTATCCTGATTTCTTTTTGTCAAAATTAGCAGTAACCACAGGTTGTGTTTTATGTGGGCATACTTTTTGTATTTCATAAAAGGCGTGTATTAATGAAATGATAATGGAAAGCGGTTTTCTGTAGTCATTCATTCATTCATTCATTCATTCAATCATTCATTGTCCAGCAGGACCTGAAAATCCGAGGAATCAAGTGCAAATCTTCTAATATATTGCACCGTTCTGCTCTTTATACTTCTCCTACTTGCAGCCGTAGTCTTGCGTGCGGTGTCAAGGAAAAAAAGAACAGGTTAGAGCAGCATCAAGTTCTTCTTTGATGGATGGATGGATTGAACAAATATCATCAAGAATCAGCAATTAGGGATTAGAAGTATTTTTATTTCTACTTCTTGTGTTTAAAAAAAATTGGCGAAAGGGCGAGATGTTTGTGGAATGTTCTGCCTTAGGTGCCAATATAAGTTGTTTGATCTTGGGCGATCTTCTGCCATGACTTGACAGGCTTCTCCCCACTGGATAGCAACATGACATGTGGGATGATTCTGAGGACGGCCACACCACAGTGATAAGAAGGCAAAAACAGTGGGTACAGAAAAGAGGTATTAACAAGCTCATTTTAGAGTTTGCCAGGATGTTTTGAATATCAGTCTTCCTTTGTACATTAAGAAATCAGTAAATTAAATTAAGTTTTGTTCTTTACACCATGTGCATTAGACATGTTTGACAGCCAAAATCCTGTTACTCAGTGCAGTAATTCACACTGGAGTATACCCACTGAATCAATGAGGACTTAGCAAGCCCTCTGTAAGTTCCCTCGGTTTAAGTGGGTCTACTCTAATTGTGACTTAATATGTTAAAGCAGGTTTAAAAGGCTGTTGCGAATTTTGTTGCATTTGTTTCCTCACTTGGGATTGCAGTATAGTGGGACCATCCATCCACCTTTTAAGAAAGGGAGGAGGAACCAAAAAGGTACCTGCTTCTCACATAGTAATGCTATCACTCCATTCAGCAAGTATTCTTTCTGCATTGACATACGCACATCGTACTGCCAATGCAATCTTGCCTTCTCACTGTTCAAAATATCATGCAGAAAGGGCCTCCATTTGAATGAATGACAGCAAATCCTTTCTAAAGATGAAGTGAAATTCTCTAGAGTCTAGATCTTTGTCAAGCTGGACTATATAAATATTGGCAACCAACAGTACACTAATCCCCCCCAAAGGAATAAATGATGGCAGTAGTGGCCTGATCAAATATATATTCAATCCCTAAGCTTCTCTGGATCTTAAACAGAGCCCAGGGAACAGGTGGGAGAATGCCTTATGCCAGCATAAGGAAAATTTCTGAGTCTATGAACTTAACTAGGGTTTATCTTCTGTAAGTATGGTTAATTCCAGTGGAATTTTTGCCAAGCAGATGCTGCTGTTGCTTTTTATACCTGCCCTGTTCTTGTACCCATTTAGTTTGTCCCTCTGATTTCTGACTGATTTTTGTCAAAATTTTCAGGATCATGTTTCCCACACAAAAAAGAAGCAACCCTATCAGTCATGGTAAGGTAAATAATTTAATTTCTCATGAGACTATGCAGTTTTAACACCCATTTTCAAAATGGTTTACAATGTCACAGGGATAACGGTATCACAAAGAGAATATAATCAGAAGTACAATCAGACATTTACTCAGCTCTCTGAATTAATATGTTTGGCCTATCTAGAAGTCATCTTTTGCTCAGAACACAATTGCTGCCTTTTTGGATTCAGGAGCTCTCACATTGTTTGGTCCTTAATATGCTGGGTATTTAAAGGAATGGTGCATTTACATTCAAATCTTTAAGTATGTTTATTTCATTTTAAGTTTCGCTTTTTACAAAGACAAAGTAAAAAGGTTCTCCTTTAGCCAGAATGTTGTCTGGAGTTTGGAACCCATCACATCCTGAGCCCCCAAAACCCTGAATCCTTCCAGATCATTTTCCTAATCATGACAGCTCAGGGGAAGTGGTAGCTGCTGTGAGGTTGGGTGGAGTTGGCAACTGTAAATGCTATGCTGTTTATACCCTGTTTCACTGAAAATAAGACCTAACCTGAAAATAAGCCCTGGTAGGATTTTTGGTTAAAATGCTGTACTGCAGCTAAAACTGTGCTCACGACCTGGGGTTCAAATCCCAGGTAGCCGGCTCAAGGTTGACTCAGCCTTCCATCCTTCCGAGGTCGGTAAAATGAGTACCCAGCTTGCTGGGGGGGCAATCTGTAGCCTGTATAATTAAAATTGTAAACTGCCCGGAGAGTGCTTGTAGCGCTATGGGGCGGTATATAAGTCCAAAAAATATAAATATAAATAAATAAGCCCTACCCCCAAAATAAGCGCCAGTTAAGTGAAACCCTGCCCTCCACCCTTGTGCAGCAACCACAAGAAGATGACATGGCTGTATTTGAATAAATGCAGATGGTTGTATATGAATAAAATAAAAACATCCCCTGAAAATAAGCCCTATTGCATTTTTGGAGCAAAAAATAATATAAGACACTGTCTTATTTTCAGGGAAACACAGTAGCTGTTTTTGTGCTCTGCCCAGGCCAGTCCTGACTGTACCGTCCTTTCTATTCTCACTCATAGTTAGGTTCTACTGAATGCAGAGGTAGCTACTCCCCAGTAGGAATGCATAGGACTGCAGCCCAAGTCAATCTTCAGCTAAGCAGCGACAAGTATGGCAGCGTAGTCAATTGCAAGCAGCAAACATGTTGACTCAGTGCCTCCAAAATCGCTGCTGTCTTTTATGGTTGGGGTGGGGGAACCGCTATATGGAAATGCATTCAAGTGAGCCACTTTTCTCACACCAGAAAGCACAGCATACAATATTGTAACATTTTCCCTAACACTACTCAGCAGGTTCACATATTAAATGCACATTTTAATTTCACTATGGCATGGATTTCATTGTAAATCTGAACAAGAGCAGAGTCTGCAGTTTACAGGGCTCGGCATGGAAACAGGCCTGCAAAGGACCACACATTCAGGAATGTGGTGCTATGAGCAGCAACCTCATACCATTCAAAGCAAAAGCAAAGCAAAGTGTGCTGCTTACATACCGCCCCATAGCATTTCAAGCCCTCTCTGGGCGGTTTACAAGTTAATTATGCAGGCTACACATTGACCCCCCCCCCAGCAAGCTGGGTACTCATTTCACCAACCTCAGAAGGAAAGAAGGCTGAGTCAGCCTTGAGCCGCTACCTGGGATTGAACCCCAGGTCGTGAGCAGTTTGGCTGCAGTACAACAGTTTAACCACTGTGCCACGAGGTTCTTCACATATATTCAGATATATTTCTTTTTGGACTACAATATTCACCATCCCATGCTTGCTGTTTCGATTCAAAATGCCTGAGGGATATAAGGTTGGTTACTCCTGGTTTGTATTTTCATTTCTGAGAAGTGAAAACAACTGCAAAGGGGAAGCGGTCAACATCTGTGCAGAATGCGAGATCTCACAAGTAGTCGAGTCACTACCACAGTGCATCCGTTCATGTTGCAACGATGCAAACTTGACCCTTCTTTTTCAAGTTTTGTTTTCAGTTGCACTTTAACAACATGGCTGGCTAGTGGAAACCTTGTTGAGAATCAAATATACCATCCAGTCTATGCTTCTCTATGAAGTTATATAAAAAGGAACAAACCCAAACACACTAACGGAACTCATTTATTCATTAATATCATTATAATTCCAGCATGTCAGCAACTGGGCCATGCTTAAGATACCATTGTGTCTCATTACACTTTTTCAATCTCTTGGACTCATGAGGCCTGTAATTTCTTTTTCTAAGTCTAGCTCTTGTCCTACCTTCTGCCCAGGCATCTACACGCGATACAGAAGATCCCCACAATGAGGACACTCTCCACGATCACTCCTCAGATGCTGATGGAACTGGGCTCTATCAGATTGTTGCAATACATCCTGAAAATAACTGTGATGCGATGTACTTCCAGGAAGAGGTAGGATGCCTATGATGTAACTAGAGATGTACAATTTCCAAAACTTTCCATTTTTTCCAATTTTCTCTCTCAAGCTGGGTGAGAGAATGACTGGCCCAGTATGTTTCATGGCTCTACTGGGACTAGCACCTGAATCAGCATGCTAAGAAAGACATCACCCTAGCTCTTTTATTAAATTTTATCATTTCACTAAAAGGGATCAAGAGGGAGTCAACATTCTATACAGCTCCTCCTTAAGCAGTCAACAAAACCCCATTTTCCTGCAAAAGTACTGGGATGAGTGACAATCATATGGGATTTTTTAAAATGTAACTTTTCCCCCTGATCACTTCTACTAGAAACATTGACAGGGTTCCTGTTCTCTAGGAAAGATTACAATTAGCACGATCCTCTCCTAAGGATAAAATCCTTATACAAAATTAAAACTATAATCCATGTACTGTAAACTTTGTCTACAATTTTTACATTTCAATTTACAGATAAAGTTGTATTGTGATCATAACTTAACATTTCTAAGGAGATAATTAGCTGAAAGACCCTCTTTGGGGGTTAAATATTGTCAGTAGAGATGGACACTCGCTGGCACAGACCCACAAGTGTTGTGCGGGCACCCTGCATTCCATATCCTACCTCCTCATGTGGGTGCCCTGTTGGAAGCAGCCCCATGGGCTTCCTTGCCCCGCCTCCTCTTCTGAGTGGGTGCCCACGGGAGGAGTCAGGGCACAGAGTCTGGGGTGCCCACGGAACACCTGTGGGCCTGACCCACCAAACCATGCTGAAGCACCAAACGGCAGGAAGTGCTCATCTCTAACTGTCAGCACTGATGTATCACACCGGAGCAATAACTGGCAATTTTGGGACTTGAAGCAAGCAGCATGCAATATGCCAAGCACGTATCCCCATTCTGCCTGCAGCTTTTCCTGCTCGCCTCCACCAGGTGCCTTCTCCAGCCAGGGCAAAGCCTGTATGGGAGATGGGCAGGTGATTGAGCACCCTCATCCTCTTTGGCTCATCACAGCATCCCTGACAAGGCAGCAGACATATGCAGTCTTCAGGATAATTCTGTGCAAAGAAATAAACAATCCCCCAGGTGAAATTTTTTGCACTTTTGAAGTTTGGCATCTTGGATCAAAGTCTCCGTCATGCTGCTCTAGGTAGAGTATTATACTATCAACAGTATAATCACAATTATTCAGCATGCAAAATAGAGGCGGTAAGTACATTTCGAATCACTCTTAGCCTTAATCATATTGCCAACCTCCCATCTTTGGTGAGGGAGAGCCACACTCCACCTCTCAACTGCTTCACATGTTCCATCTTGTTCTATTTCAGCCTGTGGAGAAGAGAGATGAGGTTTCTTACACCACACTGCTTCATTCAGATCTGCAGCCACAAGCCATCTATGGTAACATAGATCATCTCAGCTGTGCTGTCATACAGCCACTTACTCAGGAGGTCGTGTATGCAGAGGTGACTAAGAAGCATGGCAATTAAAGATGTGCACTGGAATCAGCCAAACTCTGAGGCGAGGTAGGCTCTGCTGGACTCATTTGCCTGCCTCCTGATGCAAAAAGGGCATGTTCCCCCCCCCCATTAGAAGAGATGTACCTGAACCTAACCAAAACCTTGCCAGAGCCATTTTCATAAAGGCATAGGGGTGATTACACTGGCCATCTACCTGCAATCTGCATCAGATTTGGCACAGATGAAATCGTATCAAAAGATGGCAACTACACAACGTAAAGTTCACTGTGAGGAAGCTTGGTGGGGAATAGTCTCTTTTGCGTTCAGCCTTTGGGGTGGTGGGATGTGGTGGCGCTGCGGGATAAACGGCAGAAGCCTTTGTGTGCTGCAGGGTCAGAAGACCAGCAGTTTGTGGGGAAGCTTGGTGGGGAATAGTCTCTTTTGTGTTCAGCCTTTGTGGTGGGGGAGAGTTGTTTTGTTCCAATTAAGCTGGCATAGTTCCCCCTCCCCAATCTTCTGCCCTGTGCAATTGCCTGATCCAATGCCAAGAAGTTATTGAAGGGGTTGTCAGTTCAACGTCATCCCAAAACAGTACTTTAAAAAAACATCGTCCAAAGCCAGTACTGATTCAGATGAGTGCTATGTCACCTTGAGAAAATTTTAAAAAGGCCAAGAGAAGAGTTGATCCTGGTGGGAACTGCTGATCTCGAGGATGGTTCTTTTCGCAGTTTGTACCTCTGCCCCTGCTGATTCCTGCAATGCAATAATTGTTTTCTGTTTGTTGGAATTATTACAGCAATTTCCCCAGTAGAACGTATTAGGGACCTGACTTGGAAAAATTTGCATCAAAAAAAGGTTTTTCCTTGTTGTGTAGTTGCACCCGTATGGTGACACCAAAAATAGCTCGTTCTTTTGTGGAAAATATCCTCAGGTGGGAAGGAGAGAGAAAGATTGACAGATCTACCTTTGAACTATGGGTTGTATTTTATTAAAAATTTTGGAGCTGTACTTTGGAGAATGGATTCCGACTTTGCAGAAGCTAGTGGTTTTAGCTTCCTTTGTGGTTATTTGGAGTCACAGATAGCACTTTTATTTTTGGACTATTTATTTATTTAGGAAATTAGCTTGAAATCTTCTGTTGTTTATGTTACTTATTTTATGGGTACGGGTATTTTCTTTCTTTCTTTCTTTCTTTCTTTCTTTCTTTTGTTCTTCCTCTTACTTACTTTACTATGTTGTTCCCACCCTGTAAACAACTCTAATGTTCCAAATGCTCACAGTGTAATGTATTTTTATTTTAAATCATGTTTTTGTTGAGATTGATTACATTTATATTATTTAATATTTTCTTTAATCCAATGAAATCTCCAGATCTGCTAATTTGTGTTTATGGGCTGCCCTGGCATAGCACAGCTTGCCAGCACGTGGGGCAAGACAAGTATTGTGCCCCAACCCATGGCCCTGCTACTCCCACCATCACCATTTTTCACAGCACCCCCTCCTTTCCCGACAGGGACCTACCCTCATCCACCATCATCCCTCCTTTCCCCATCTTCCCCCGGCTCCTCCTCCCCTACCTTGCACTGGGCTCGGCCAGAGCACAGGAGGGGGAATCGCTGCACTTCCAGTTCCCTGCCTTTGCATTGCTGCCCTCTCCTGCAGCACCTGCACAACAGCACTCAGCTCCCACCCCCCAAGCCAGCAGAAAGACACTATTGGCCAGGCTTAACTAGACCAGATGGGCGGGATACAAATATAAATAAATAAATAAATAAATAAATAAATAAATAAATAAATAAATAAATAAATAAATAAATTGGCCAGGCTTAATGCTGCCAGCAGCCCAATGGTAGCAAGGAAGAGGCACAGTGGTGCCTGGACACCCAGCTCCTTGGTGCCCCCAGCCCAGCCCGCATGGCTGCAGCTGCCCAGCAGCAGTCACAGCAGCTGCACCCCCTCCACTGGCCCTTAGAAAGGTCCTCTGACAAAGGCTACTGGCTTGCTCTCCTCAATGGGGTGGTCTACTCCATGTCTGTGCTGGGCCAGGGGTGGCCAGCTTGCCCTGCCCACCAGACAGTCCCAGTAGGCAGGGAGGTGGTGGCGCAAGGGAGGGAAGGAGGGAGGACGGATGGACAGGGCATTACACCACTGTTGAGCTGTAAGTCCCAGGATTCTGCCTAGAGAATTCTAGCAGTTCTAGCTCAAAAATATGAAAGAGCACATTGCAATCTCCTGCTAGGAAGGAAGGAAGGAAGGAAGGAAGGAAGGAAGGAAGGAAGGAAGGAAGGAAGGAAGGAAGTTAAAGGCACAGAGGCTACACCAATTTGCCTGCAATATGAGCGGGCATGCCTTCCTTCTGAAGTGCCACTATGCCTGTCAATTCTACAGACTAAACTATGACTAAAGAGGGAAAAATCAGGCCATTTTTGTGATTGCCATGATAGTCAATGACAGGCCAAAGCTTTTGGTTTTTGACGCTTGACTTGTGTTCAGGACCTCAGTCAAAGCAAACTAACTGCCCTGAAAAGCAGCAAGCCATTTTCCAAGGTGTGGGGCCTGTGAGTTTGTGCACTTCCTTAGTGACCATCAAATACAGATATCCGGTGTGCTTCTTTCAGTGCATTGCCGGTACTTCTCCTTTAGGACTGCCACCTGCTAATGATTTGTGGAGTGAAACCAAACTGTCCTGTCTCGTTATAATGGAAGGAAAACACAGCTCCTTATGGCAGGAAAGTGCAGCCACTATCTGGAACAGGAAATACTGTATCATTCAAACAGGAAGGGATCACAAAATCTGGATTTGGTCTCAGTTTCAGTTTCCTGAAAACTTCCAGCCCTCTTGTCAATGTATAAATCTTATAAATGCTTAAGAGCCGGGGTCCCCAACCCCCAGACTGCAGCCCTGTACTGAGTCTTGGCAGAACTGGGCCACGGAGACAAATCTCCCGCCCCCTGCACACACACTCCCCACGCATGCACAAAATGCACACATGGCCCCCCACGCACAAATGAGTGCCCCACCCACCCGTGTGCATGCCCCACCCACCTGCGCATGTGCACACGGGGGCCCTGCCCACCTGAACAGGTGCCACCCCTCCGTGCGCATGTCCCCCCCATCCCAACCGGTCCTCAGTTTGGAAAAATTTGGGGACCACTGCTTAAAGCAGTGGCCCCCAACCTTGAGCCCCCAGATATTCTTGAACTCTCAGAAGCTTTCACCACTAGCTATGCTGGCCTGGATTTCTAGGAGTTGTTTCTGGGATCCAACGTGGGAACTACTGCTTCAGAGCAAAGTTTTGAAAGGGGGAGGCAGCAGGAGGGGGAGAGTTTGGACCAGGTGTTATGGTAGAATAAAAGGCAGAGTTGCTGTAACCCAGCTGCACAGTTTCCCCCTGCCTTCTGGTTTCTATTTGCTGCACCAGCAGCTCCAGGAAAAGAAACTAGTCCTGATGATTTGCTTATGACAACATGTGCAAGCTTCTGTTCATTTCACATGGCTTGAAAATATATTTACAACAACCAGGCTGTAGGAAGACCATCTTAAATTGATGGTCTGAGCATATATTTCTCATCAGCTTGATGCCCGAGAAAAAAGTACAGGTAATTGCAGAAGAAATAATTACCTAATGTAGGGGCAGACAACTTTTTTGGGTCTGTTGGGGGCCGTGTTCCAGTGGATGGGTGCAATTCAGTGTAGTGGTGAATGAAGCTAGAGAAGGTGACTCACTCACTCTCACTCTCTCTCTCTCTCAATCTCTCTCTCTCTCTCACACACACACACACACACACACACACACACTGTCACATGCAAAAAGGCACACACACTCTCTCAGTCTTTTGGCCACCACTTCCTCTGTTCTCTTCCTTTCCCCTGATAGTGAACTGCTGGGGAAGAGGCTCCTCTTGCAGAGATCTGAACAGACCACTTGCAGAGCGCTTTGGAAATTGTGCTGGGGGCCATGTGAGATCCAGCCAAGGGCGACTTGGAACCTTAAAGCCATACACCGCCCACCTCTGCTGTAAACAGAGAACTTGCCTCCTCGTCTTGGTGCTGCACACTTGAATACTAGAGGCCATGTTTTAATCTTGCCTTCTTGCCACTTTTATCATCCAAACAAAATGAGGTCTCAGTTGACCATGTAGGTTTGAAGCATCGACTCTTTCTGGGCCTCAGAGAGTTTATCAAGGATCTTCAGGGCTTTAGTGCATTCTCTGGAACATGGGAAACAGAGGCCAAGAGCAAGAAAAAGCAAGGAGAACCCAAAACAGAAAGAAAGTTTGTGAACAAGACTTGCTTCAGGAATATATCTTTTGGAATCTTTTAAATGGAATGTTTTGGCAAGTTATGAAATTACCAGCCCCTGCAAGCATCTCCTGTGCCCAGGGTTTGTCTGCTGATTTTATATCTGGCTAGAGAAACTACAGATTTCCAGAGTGGGGACCCCAGGCACCTGTTACAGGGCACTAACTGAGAGATAATGTTTTTCAGGAGGGGTTTGGGAGAGGTCACCCTCACAGTTGTGTCTACTGTTTCACTGAATGGACTTCAGATGTACAGACATTTTACCCAGTTTGAATCTGCTAGACACAAGTCCATATTGGGTTTTGAACTGTCAACCCAAAGGATTTCAAGCAAGGATTCAGCCTTTGCGCCACCCTTAGAGTAAGCCAAAGGAGGGAGCTGCACGGAGACCAGCCATGGCAGCAAAGACTGTTCCTTCCCAACAGTCTTCCAACTGGTCGAAATAAATCAGGAGATTTATTCTTGCTTGATGCCAACTGCATCACAGAGCCTGGAAATATTACTTTTTCAGGCTACAGCTCTCAGAATACCCTAGCCAGTATGGGTAGTGGCCATGTTATCCTAGTAACTGCAATCCTAAAAACCTAAAATTTTCAAGCTGTGCCATCTTCTTTTTCGCATGAGCTGAATCCCAGCCTTCCTGCTTCTCAGACTCTCAGCTCTCACTGCTTCCTTCACTTGCCCTGATGCCACCCTGGAGCTTTGTAGCAACATGGGATGGGTCTTGAGATCCTCTAATGCAACTCCCCCACAAATGCCTAATTTGTGAGGCTGGATGCAAATGCAACTTCCTTGCCTGATGCAGTCACTCCTGCTCTGTGGCCACTTTTGTGCAAGTGTTTCTTTGTTTATGGGAAGGTATGACAGGCCTGATTTCACTCTACAGTGGACCCTCGATTTACAGATGGCTCAACTTACAGACTTTTCAAGTTATAGACTTCTCTGGCCACAAAATTTAGGTTCGATTTACAGCCAGAGAATCAACCTACAGACCAGAAAAAAAAACAAAATGGAACAAAAATGGAACAAAAACGGCCAGTTACGGGATTAATCGGTTTTCAATGTATTGTAGGTCAATGGAGCATCGACCTACAGACTTTTCAACCTGCAGCCACCATTCCAATACGGATTAATTCCGTAAGTAGAGGGTCCACTGTAGCTTCGTTGCCTTTCATACTGTGCCAAATACCTGGCTAGAATCCCTTCTGTCTGTTCTTTGTTCATGAGGCTCTTCCTCACATACACGTTGTTCATTCCCAGAGTGGCAAATGTCCGGATAACCTATAAACAGGGCGAGGAGAAACCAAGATATTGATCAGCAATGCGCTCAGTAGTTTTTGTCTGATATTAGTGCCTCAGGAGTATCCCAGCACCGACCTGTACACGAACATCCTCGCTGGTATCCAGCTCCAACATTTCCAGCATGGCGAAGAACACGTTCTTGTGGCGAAGGCCAAGCACACCCTAGCAACAGACGAAGGAGCAGAGTTTTGCTTGGCAACAATGAAAGCCAAACAAGATGAAGAAGGGTGGCTTCCTGCACCTTAGTGTGTGGTCTTTGAGGTGCCATGTTCAGTCTCTCATGATCATCCCTTCAGGAAATGAGCCTTAAGCTTCTTGCTACTCAATGACAGCTGTGAAAGGAACTGCATGCAGTGTTGAGTCAGGGCAGATCTACAGGTACAACCTCTAGCACAGCGACATGACCCAGGAGACAAGGGTGCACGTACGACGGAAAGAGACATTGAGGGCTTTGTTTTTGAATTGCAGAGAGTAATGTCTGAACAATTAAATAAGTAAAATGAGATGTGCTCATCCTAGGTAAGTTTTTCTTAAAAAGGGCAGGTAGTACCTGAAAAAGCATCTGCTTCAACATTGCTTGTTTGGATCGCAAATCCCAGAATTGGGATACTGCTATGATAGCCCCCCCAAAATATGACTTTTCCAAGCCCTGGCATATAAACAGCAGGTCCGTCCCTGTCCACTTTAGGGAGGAATGAGGCAGTACTCAACATCATCATCTTAGAACTGCAGAGCTGGAAGGTATGGATCATCCAGTCCAGCCCTTATCAAGAAAGTAGACTGGGGAACTGAATTCCCAACTACTGGCTCTGCAGCCAGATATCTAAACCACTGTAGTATCTAGCAGTTTGCTTGGGGTGACGGATTTCTCATGGGGACTCACTCTATGCTTTGCTTTGCTTTATGGGCCTGTCAGACTAAGCCTTCCCTTCACCTGGCCCCTTCCAGCTGCCCTGGAATGGTACTTGTCAACAGGATGGGGAAGGAGTGAATCCTCATCTCTTGCAGTCCCTCACAGATCTTCCTAGTCTGCTCCAGAGAAGCACCAGATCCTTCAGAGCAGATGTGGGGGGAGGAGGGGGGGAGGCTTCAGGACCTTGCGGGAAGAGAAGGGGAGGGAAACCCAGTTCTGTGAGGGTTCATAGGATTCTACCTGGCATCTGTGGTACCCATTGGGGAACTGCAAGCAGGCTGACCAAGGGTATCATCTGGCCAGACTCAAGGATGGCTTACCAATGCAATTACAGCTTGTTTTCGGACCACCGCTGCTTCATCCCTCAGTTGTCTGTGAAGGCGATGGAAAGATTGATATAAATATAACCCACTATTCAGGTTTTCTCTTCATTTCCAGCCACTCCAAACTGAAGGGTGCCCTCAAACCCTACTCAGTTTCCAGTTTCATTGTTTTCCAATGCACTGAAAGTGACAGGTCTGAACAGAAAGGCTTCCACTGCCCTTGAGGCTCCTCGCATCAACCAGGACCTTGATTTTCTGGGGTGCCAACTCAGGGTGCAATTACACTGACAATGAGAACTACTGTTGAATCAGATGTCATATACGGTAATTAAAATTGATTTTTAAAATACCGGCTACATGATGCAAGTGAAGCCCACTTCTTTTTTTACTACAAACTGAGGTCTTTTATTTAAGACGCCAGGACAGGCTTTTTACTTTTAACACACTTCAGAAATCAATTATTTATGAATCGCTTTGGGCAATGTGAACAATCCTGTCATATTAAATGCTGCCTTTTGTGGGCGGTTGCAGGTTTTGGACAGCCGTCCATCTGAAATTTTTTTAAAAAAAATAATTTTAGCACTGCATCGCTGTACTGTTATGCCACCTAAATTTTATTTTTTAAAAAAGAGGGAAATGCAGGCGTTCCAAAGGATGCCTGAAAACCAAAGAAATACTACACAACTTTGAACACATGGTCTGCAAACATGCTGATTAATGAATTAATTGAAAACCCCATTTGTAGTTTCCCAAAGTAGTTTTAAGCCCCTACTTTATATGGGAGTAATAATTTTCAAAGTGAACATATATAACAATACAAAGACCACATGACTGAAAGTCAATTTAAAATACACCAGAGCTGAAATTGATCCAAATCAGCAGTGTGACCGTGCCCTCATATGGCGAGCACCTTGGGATACTGCAGTTTCTCTTCTTCTGGCTCATCAGACTCCACGCACAGGAAAGTAACAAAAACAGAAACATAGAGGGCAAGGCTAGAGCCCTCCCCTTTAGAAGTGGTGATTTGAAACAGAGAGAGGACGTCTAAACATGGCTTAAGACAAAAAGAAATGATTTCCATAACTATGAGTTTGCTGTTTGTTTGTTTGTTTGTTCAAATAAGATCAGAACAGTTGAGTGCTGCTGTGTTTTTCTTCTCTGTGAAAAAAAAATTAAATAATACTTTCTAAAACTAATCCTTAAATACTGCACTCCCAAACCAATTACACCAGGGCACAGAGTGCTGTCTTCTGAAGATGCCGGCCACAGAGACTGGCGAAACGTCAGGAAGAACAACCTTCAGAACATGGCCAAAGAGCCCGAAAAACCCACAACAACCATTAATCCGTTTCTGTTCAGCCAAGGGAAACCCTTCAGCTGCATATTTTCAACCTTCTCCAATGTCTCACCTGGATGTCAGTTTGGAAGTGTAAGGCAGCAATCCTGTGTAGGCCCATTGGAATAAGACCAACCACATACAGCAACCAATGTTTGAGCAAGCATGTGTAAGTTACAAGTCTGCAAACCGACAGTTCCTTCTTTGGAACAACATGAACAGTTTGCTCTTTACAGCTTCTGTGTCCTCCCTTCCCCACCCCGTTCTGAATCAATAGCAGTTCTTTAAAAAGTATTGAAATATAATGGAGGAGGATAGACTCTTCTTGCTGAATGACGGAATCCTGGCTGATTTGCTGTCTTAATTCCTAATGGCAGCTTTTCCCACCACCCCAGATGACAGGATGGCTGGACTGCATAAGCAGGTACATACTGAGCCAATTCCAGATTTTCTCTCCTCTTCTGTAGCTTGTAGCTATATGAACATATGAGGGGAACTACCTAACCTTCCCAATAGGTTTGATATAGAGTCAAATTAGATGTTCCAATGAGAAGGTGGGCAAATTCTCAGAGTTGAGGATCTGTGTAGGACCTTCTGCCCAATTCCACAGTTATTGCATTAACACACAACTAATGCCAACATTTTGCAACCACCTCTGAGTTTCTTACAGCCAAATTCAGCAGCTACCTGCATTAATGCCAGTTTTGCTGCCACCACAACTAATGCCAAAATTTTGCAACCACCACCGAGTTTCTTACAGCCAAATTCAGCAGCTACTTCAATAGTTCTCTATGCTGCCATAGATCAACATCAGAGGTGCCGGAGTGTCTTGTACCATAAAAGCCCCATCAGTCTGCAGGTTAGAGTGTCTCCTGCCTTTCAGGAGGAAAGGAAAGACAAACACACACCATTTTTGTAATGTGTTTTTTCCCCCTTGTAGCAATGCTGCCAATTTTCACAACGTGGGTATGCCAGTGGCTGTACCAGGAGGACTCTAGCACGTGCCAATGCTGTGGCTATTTCATCAGCAACAGAGGCTATGAAGGCAGCCTTCTCAGGCCAGATGTGACCGGAGAACTCCATATTCCCAATCCCTATGTTATAATAAAGATACAATGCATTAAAACTGTAATAATGTTTTTTAAGAACTCGGGTTTCAAGCCAAGATGAAGAACGCACAACCAATACATGCATCCACTCTCAGATAAATAATGCCTCCCTAGTTATTGCTTGCCCCATGGCTCCTCTTAAATTTAAAGTCACTAGTTTAATCACATGTTTTTAAAAAAATGTACATAAAACTGTGCTGGGGGGGAAAAGTGAGAGAACTGATCTATAGAATGATGGTTTTGTCATTCTGCAAGCATGCCTAAGCTGGTATATTTCAGTAGGCTATAATACCTGGCTGTGAAGTCACAAGTTAGCATTTCCGATTCCACTGTGCCTCCCCAGAGAGTAGCCAACTAAGATCATCCAGAATGTGTATGGCTGGTGGGGTTACATAACCTGCCGCCTCTGCCACCTTGGGCAAGCTGTACAGTCCCAGTGGGTCACCAGAAGGAGGGAATCATACACTATCTCTGAGTATTTTATGCCTATGAAACCCCAAGATGATCACCCTTAGATTGAATCAACAGCACATTGTTATTAAGTGTGTATTGACTTCCACACTAAAACCTCTCTATATTGTTCCAAAGCAAATTTCAGGTGATTCTTCTTGACTTTCCCATTGCAATTTCCTGCCGCTTACCTCTCTACTATGTCCCAGATTTGCTTCTTCATCTTCAGCTCTTCAACAGCCAAGGCAACAGACTGCCTTACTACCTGAGCGAAGAATGTGAATGTCTTATGAATGGGGTGTCAATCTGCAATCTCCAGAGACAGGACACATTATTGCCTAAGATTCCTGACAGGACTCAAGCGAGCCAGTCTGCCAAAATGAATAGCCAAATAACGGCGAGGAAATCAGAATTAGATAAGCCTATACTTTTTGTGAAGTTGGACTCAAAACTTTGTCACTAGTATTAACATCCCAATTTCTTTGCCCAACATTTATTTCCTTCCTGCCTGAGCTTTATAGGGAGTAAGCTCCATTCCGGCATGCTTCTCCGATGCAATTAGATTAAAGGTGCACTCTGGTTAAGATTTTAGGCAACTATATAGTGTATTTCCCATTGCCTACAGAAAAGCACCTGTGGATCCATTGCAAGGGGTGCTGGGATGGCTGGTCCCTTCTGGGGCATAAACATTTGAGGTGTTTTCAGTTAGCACCCCTGGAGAGTCAGCTGTTGTAATCTGCCTTGGGAAAGAGAGAGAGAATTTCCTTTATTCTAGGGCGATTGCAGTTAATGATCCAGAAACACCTCACACAATTCTTCTAAATGGCTGAGAATGCCTACTGTGTAACAGGCAATATCCACTTTCTAAAGCATCTGAACTGTCTTTCAGGCCACAGTGGAACAGCAAGGAATACATTAAAATTAACAGCTTATTTCCAGGCTCTGGAAATAACTGCCTTAGAAAATGGCGTTTCCATACAGCTGTGTCACCACAAACTGTAACCAGGTCTCAGACTGACAAGGAGGCTTATTATCCTTTGCGCTTTCATGACACACTGTTAGCATGGCACTTTGGGAGCAAATCCTGGAGGAAGGGCATTTCTTGAGAGAAGGCCAACAGCATTAATACTGTTCCATAGGCTCAGGGTGAAAAAAAAGGGAACAGACTAACAATATACAGTACTATAGAAAGAGGCTACATAGGAACAGTGAATTATCAAAACAGTAGCTCTGCAAAGGTCTCGGCCTCACCAGAAAAGGCTCCGCAGATAACTTCCCGAGAAGCACAGTAAACACATTCTCCTCCATGCCTTCCTGTTGGATTGTTTCAAGTCCTATGGTGGTCAAGAGCTTTGCAGAGTCAACACGATGCTGGGTAAAAAGAGGGAGCAAGAAAGTCGCTCTTCAACTAGTGACATATATTTAGTTTCAGCCCACTCTCCCTTCAGTTTGTCATTAAACCGCATTGCATCAAGTCCCCCTACTTTTCCCTACCAGTCCACTACCATCATCACTTCTTAAGCTTTGTCCACCACAATGTTGACAGATTTGTTTTAACAGAAAAGATATCGATGCAAAAAGTCCAGAAGTAGATAATGAAATGCGTGGAGCCTTTTCAACTAATATTTGACACTTTAATGGTCCTTGGAAAAGAAGAGACCATAGGCAAGGCCAAATTCATGCATATTTTCTTCAGAACTACATCCCACTGAATTCAGAAAAATGCATGCCCAAATAAGCCTGCGTAAGTATTGCAGTCTCAGCTGTTCTTGCTCTTTGGTGAGACCACAACTTCTGAGTCATGAAATTAGAACCCTCTGTTTGTATTTTCCCCCTCTGGGTCAGTTGTGTCCATAAAGTTCTAGGAAGGCCTCTTTGGTTATTCTTGTCAGAGATTCTCTTAAGCCAAGTTGGAAATGGGCTAGCTCCTCCCTCATTCTGTCCTTTCTCCACCTCATCCTTTTGGATCTTCTGCCAGCAATTTTTCCCAGCAGAACAGTTCGGCTAGCAGTAACTCTCTTTACATATCAGCTGGCAAAAGACAGTTCTGCTGGTAGAAGGGCATTCTTGCACAGAGGAGGCTAATCCTAAACTTATAGCAGGCACATCTTCCAGTGTGGGCAACAAAAAAATGTAGCCCCTCCAAGGGTAACAGGCTATTTATCGATGAAATGATATGTGATCCACTAATGTTTCAGGGGTCAACCCAAAAGCACTTTAATATTCAACAACACTATGATACCATGAAACGTAAGAGTTGTTTAGCAAGATTTATCTTTGCTGAGAACAGGCAACATCTCCTTTTCGAGACAGCTTCTTCTTCAACCACAGATTTATCAAATACCCAGGCAGAAGGTTGTAAAGATCTCTGTACAATGATGGTTACTTCAAATATTCTTTTAACAAAACTAGATAGTGGTAGCCTCCAACATTTTTTGGAGAAGTACACCAGTCGTGAGATTCCAAATGAATCAACTTTAAGGAAAAGATTAATCTGTGCTGCTATGAAGATGTGTTAGGAAAAATAAGATCTGCTGTTGACAACAATAATATATGGGTTTCAATAGATGGAACAAGTGATATAAACGGTATGTACCTAATGTCATTATTGTAACTCTGAAATGTGACAAGCCTGGTGAAGTATTTCTTCTAACATGTAAAACTCTACAAAATGTAAGCAATTCCATTATTGCTGTGCACTTCAAAGATTCTATGAAATTACTCTGGCATGCAATTACTCTCAGATGGTGTAAAAAGGAGAAACATCTTCCTCTTTGTAACAGATACCACTCCATACATTACTAAGGCAGCCAAGAGACTTAAACTTCTTTGTCCAAAAATGATCCATATCTCATGCCTTGCACATGGTCCACACAGAGTAGCTGAAGAGATTTGAAGCAATTATCTTTATGTAGATAGCATAATTTCAAATAGGAAAAATGTTAATTAGAGCGCTTCTTCAAATACAAAAGTTCAAAGAAATTGCTCATAGTTTGGCTTTCCCTCCCCAACCTGTCATGACACGTATGGGGAATTGGCTGGATGCAACTATGTATTATTACACAAATTATTATTTCTTGCAGTAGATAGGGTTGGAATGTATATTGAAATGAATGTTTCTAGTCTGTGGGGCTTTTTTCTCCATATTTGTTGGCATATTCTTGTTAGGGTTTTGTCAGATTCAGTCTCTGTAGCTTGATATAGTTCTATCAATATTCCATCAACTTCTGGTGATTTATTTCTTCTCAGTGTTTTCAGCAAAGCTTTCACTTCACTTTCTAGTGCTGAAGATTTTTCATCATGCAATTCCTTTTCAAAGGAATCTGCCATCCTTTTCTCTTCTGTATAAGTCAGTATACTGTTTCCGCCTTCTCTTTATTTTCTTCTAGTCAGATAGTGTGTTTTCCTGTTGGTACTTTGGCATTCCTAATACAGGCTTAAATTTCCCTTTAATTTCTTGGATCTTCTGGAAGATATCTTCTCATTTTTCCTCTTTTGTTGTTCTCTTTTATTTCTTTGCACTGGGTATTGTAACAGTTCTTGTCTCAACGTGACCGTCACTGAAAAGCTGAATTAAGGGTTCTGTCCCTACTTCTGTCACCTTTCACTTTTGCCATATTTTGTTGTAGCTGTTGTTAAATAACTGGAAATTATAATCCCTTACTCTTCAACAGCCAACCATTAAAAATCACCCAGTAGATTTCAATCTACCTTCTGCCCATACCAGTTGTAGCAGATCAGTAATGAGAAAAATATATTCTACCCATTTTTAGTCCATTACACCTAAAATAAACCCCTCCTCTGAGGCTGAGATGCTTACAGACTGATTGTACATGACATGGTTAAATGCATTATCTTGGAGATCATATGATGTTTTATTTTATTGTTTGGGACCTCAAACGGTTTGGGACCTCAATATTTGGCAGATCGCCTCTTCCCACCCAGATCTACCCGAGTCACCCGACATAGCCAGCAGGGACGGCTGAGGGGACTGACGCCGAGGGAGGCCCGGAAGGAGAAAACAAGAAACCGGGCCTTCTCGGCAGTTGCCCCGCGGCTGTGGAACACACTTCCCACTGAAATTCGGCTGGCACCCTCGCGTGATGTTTTATTTTATTGTATTTAATATCAAGTATGAGGAACGGGATTCTTTTACCCTCCTTTCTCCCACTGTGAGCCTGAGAACAATCTTCCATTATCAAGTATGAGAAACGGGATTCTTTTACCCTCCTTTCTGCCACTGTGAGCCTGAGAACAATCTTCCATGCTGATCAAATCAGATTCATGGACAAATTCCCATCCCCCTGAACTCAAATGTTTAAAAAACTACATATAAAAAAGGCAAACAGAGATAAAAACAAACAGAGCACACACTGAACAGATCCTGGCACCTAAGTCAGAAGAAGCGGCCACATTGAAGCGCTGAAAAAATTGAAGAGAACAGAAAGGAAACTTCTAATTGCCGATTCGAAATCAAGCGAAAGAATAAGACAAACATGCTGACAGAAAGGCAAAACTGAGCTTTTCAGGCCCCAAAACAGGTCCTTCAAAACAAAATCTACTTACTTTGTATACAGGGGAATGTTGAAGCTGATGTAGAACACTCTGGATAATTACAGCATCCTTTATCACCATGTGCTTTATGAGCATGACTAAAGCCTGCAAAAGGAAGGATACCAAAAGACAAGTTCAGAAGGAAGAAAACCAGATGGATCATATAGACTGCAATTCAAGAAGACCTGCATAACTCTATGCTATTAGCAGAGCTTGGGCGTAACTACTGACTTGTAAATAGTCCCCTGTATATGGATACCTACATTTTTTGTGATGCTAATTTCATACTAAGGGATAACTTCTTCCACAATATAACTGTGACTCTTTATTTTATTTATTTGATTTGTATCCCGCCCATCTGGTCTATATGACCACTCTGAGAGGCTCTTTGCTTATTCCAAGTCATAAAAAGAAAAAGAAGCTATCTCAGCCAGAAGGTACATTCCAAAATTCATACTAGAGCATTGCCATTATGAGGCCAACCTGAAAAGGACAAGGTGGTGTGCAAAGTTTTAAAACATCGTGCTTGTGGTTCCTTTTTTAGTTACAGCAACATGGCCTCTCTTTCTGTTGGAGGAGGGATATTACATCGCTCATGATTCCTGCTCGTGCTGCTACCTTGTGCCCCATTGTGGGTGTTTGATGACACATTTGGCCAGAACCGGGGGAGCCCATTTTCTACTACAGGTTAGCAGCCTGCCAAACTCAGATGTGTGTGTTTTCAATATAGTTACAAATGGATCTGTTTTAGCCACTTCTGAAAAATAAGGAAATGATTTAAATATTATTTATGTACAGTGATGCCTCGCAAGACGTAAATAATTCGTTCCGCGAGTCGTTTCGTAATTCATTCCGCAAGTCATTTCGTATTGCGGAAGTTTTGTCTTGCGAAGCGCAGGTTCCCATAGGAATGCACTGAAATTTAATTAATGTGTTCCTATTCATCTTGCGAAGCACGGCCATAGAAAAATTTGTCTTGTGATTCACCCAAAAATTGCAAAATGCTTTCGTCTTGCGAGTTTTTTGTTGCGCGAGGCATTTGTCTTGTGAGGCATCACTGTATGTGGGAGATTTATCCCACTGCGTTGAGGCCAGTGCTAGGTAAGGGGCATCCATACAGGAAAGGGAAGCAGGCTGGTAGGAATGATGGATCCATGTCTGTCTTTTAAAAATTATCTGAGTAGAAGGATGCAGACATAGTGGGGAATTCTTCCTTGTCTGACTGAAATTCAGGATGGTTCTGATTCTCTTTTTTTCTCTTCTTCCGAGGGATTTTGCAAAGATAACTGGAATAAGATGAAGCTTGGCTCTCTCTGTTCTTTCATTCAACACACTCACCTGATTTTTCTTCTTCCAGTCCCTCTGGGTCAAGCATATCAGCATCATATTTTGGGCAACTGGGCTAGTCTTGTCCAGGTACCCCAGACAAAGGGCTGCGTCAAAGCTCATTTCCTCCAGGGGATCCTGCAAATTCACCAGCCGCTCAAGATTTCGGATTAAACAACTCTGGCCAGCAATGCAGGATCTCTATAAATAGACAGAAGCTGTGTGTTAGTACAAGAGTGATGTGGATGCAGCTTCAATAGGATCAGGAGGCAAAGAGCTGTCACGAATGGCAAAACGTGAAATCTACCAATGGCAGAGACTCATATCTTACCTCAAAAGGTGGCATTACTGACCATGCTTGCAGAGATACCTTCAGAGCAGCCAGGGCATCTTTTCTCTGATCCATGCTCATCGCCTTCAGGTGTCTAAGCAGCACTTTCACCACAGAGGTTTCTAGACAACCTGTTCGAGAGAATCAGATGCAATATTATGTAAAGCAATCTCATCAAATTCAGGGACAATCACAGGGCAATGGATACAAATGAATCCCATTCAGTCCTTATATGGATGACTGGCAGAACACCCATACATCACTGTTGCTGCTACCTTTTACAAACAGAGGCTGAAATCCTATAGCTAGTTGCACTAGGGTAGACCCATTGGATCAGTGAAGATTTGGTGAGTCAGTTCCTCCATAGGTTCCACTGATTCAAATGGGCCTTCCTTAATTATGACTTACTTTGCTGAAGTAAGTTTCAACTAGAGTAGGCCCATTTGAAACAATGGAGCTGACTCACCAAATCGCTCTTGGCTTCAGTGGATCTACTCTAGGGTAACTTACTACATACACCAAGCAAGAAGATTTCAGCTGCTGGGTGGCTTTTGAAGGCAAGCTCCTCCTTCCTCTGTGGAGGTTCCCCATGTGAGTCAGGAAAGATGATTTTCTAGTATTGAAATCCTGATGGAAGGATAGTGTCTGTGAGTAAGCTTCCTTCTTTATTGAGTGGTCCTCCATAGGCCCAGGGCAAAGGAAGCAAGGATAGAGGGGAATAAAATGACCACATGCAAAAAGAGGACAGAATTCCTGTTATTAAAAGTGGTCAGGATCCCCAACAAGTTACACTCATGGGAATCCCCTCTTAATCCTTTTTGTTCTTGAGGAGGCCATGATTTGAGTTAGCCCTGCTTCTCTCTCTCTTAATGAGACACAGGACTTCTTTTTGTTTTATTCAGTATTCAAATCCTGCATAAACCGGGCATTTTAGGGACTCGTGAAGAAGATCAGCCAACAGAAATGTCACAGAGCTGGCCTCCCTCTGATGGCATCCATACCCACCTACTCTTTGTAATTCTGCCACAAGGACACAAGTTGCAATTGGGAGCTACAGGACACCATTCCCCTTCACCTGTGCCAAGGTTGGTAGCAGTCTAAGATGAGTATCGGTGCCACAAGGCACATTCTTGTGTGAGTCACAACTTCTCTCCCAAACCACCTGAGAAGTTCCACCAGTCAGAGCCTACTGTTGCTTATTGCTGTTTCCTCCTGGTGGCCATGTTGTCCTCTCTCCTCAAGGCTCTCCAATGTTCTCTCGAAACTATGGCTACTTGACCCCAGTCATGTCACAACTTCTTCTAATATTGCCCACAACTCATTTTGCAAAAGTGGCCGTATGATTTTCAGGGCTTAATCTGAGAGGGAACCTGCCTGCTGCAGCCGCCATATGAATGCCAGGGAGATGGGCAGAAGATGGAGGAACAAAGCGTGGATCCTTCTAATCAGATTCTATATTAAGGGTTGCCTATCTTGTCAATTCATCAGCGAACAAGTCCAGGGAAACAAAAGAGATGGTGGACTTCTGTAGCTCAGTGGCAGAATATATACAGTACTCTGGAGGCAAAGGGTCCTAGAGATGCGCAGATTTGTGCTCTTGGGCTACATGCTGCCTGGGGAAATCTGTGAACTCTAGTACAATAACCACAGATCTGTACACCTCTAGTCTTAAATTCAATCCTAGGCGGCTTCAGGTAGGTCTGTGAAACTCTTCATTCCAGACCAGCCTTCCCAAACCTGGCGCTCTTTGGAGGGATTGGACTATAGACCCCATAATCCCTGCTCCCTTTACTTACTTCCCAGCTCTGCCTTTGTAGAGTGATAGGTCCTTCCAGAGGGTGGGGGGACAGTTTTGCCCCCAGGACACACTGGGAACCGCACTCCTCCCCACGCCTGCTATCAAGCGGCCAAACTGCAATGGCAAACCAGGAAATGCTTGTCTTAAAAGGACATTCCCAGTTAGTCACCCAGTTTGTGACCATCTGGTGACACATGAGGAATGCAAAAGCTGGCCATTAAGCCACATGCAGCCCATGTTGTCCACTCCCTGCATGAGATCCTGATGGCCAAAGGCCCTCACAATGGGCTCCAGCTCTTGGGACCATTTCATAGAATAAAAAAAAAAGAAAGTTAAAGCAGAAGTTACTGTATGTGTTCCTAAGAATGGACAATGAAGTAGATACATTTCTTTCGCTGCTGAGTAATTTACCATCAGCAAGCAGTAGGTGATATAATGTTCCCATAGCATTGGGCTGCAGGGAGACTCCGTGTCAGTGATCTGAGGAAGAAAAGAAGTCACTCACCCAGCAAAGCTAAGGACCGAGCGGCTTCATACTGCAAAGGCAGACTGTTGCATTCCTGAACCTGAAAAAAAGGCACAAATAACAGACTTGGAGGGGGTAAATCACTTACATACATGAACATCCAACATCACAGTGGGCATTGCAGAGCTGGGGGGAGGTGCAGAAGCAAGAGAAAAGCCCCACAAAGCATTGCCAGATATAGGCGCTCACTTCTCCTCTCAAGTTCCCAAATGGAATCTGCAATCATGGAGAGTCAGTTTGAGATAACAAGTTTCAGGGAAAACCTTGAAAAGATAATCAAATCAAACTTCAAGGCTCAATGGGATGCTAGCCCAGGCAACCCAGAATACTGTGCACCCTAAGCACAAAGCAGATGTACAAACAGCAAACAGCTGAATAAGTCATGATGCTAAAATGTGACCAATGTGCTCATAATGTGGCGAGTTCAGACACATGAGCCCAGAGGCTTTCTGGCAAGTGAAAATGATGGCTGCTACAGCTCTCTTGTGCTCCACTTCTCCTCTGTATTCATGAAAATAGAGGAAGGGAGTTTCTCCATCCTCCCTTTCAATGCCACAACTCATGTAATACATCACAGGGTTGTCTCCCCCAGTGTCCTTTTGGTGAAAGTACCCATGCAAGTAGGCTGAACAAAGGGCTCTCTTTTTTTGCATCTCAGTAAATCAGGCCAAATAGATTGAATGCCCTGACCCTGTCTCTTGAAGATGTGGGCCAGTTCTGAAAGGGAAGGGATGGACCATCTTAAGTAGAAATACAAGTGGACGAGGTCTTTTCTGTCATGCCACAGAGTGTCAGCAGGCTTCCATAAATCATAAGTATATGCCACTATGGACAGGCTGAGCCTCCATTGTGTCATTATCACTTCTACAGAGACTTCAGGCTTGATTTGGCTCAGGAAAATTTGTGTGGTTTTCTGGTGGTCCAGGATATCCTCAAAGCTCTCCTCCAACACCATATTTCAAATGAATCTTTTTTTTTTCTTATTAGCTTTCTTCACTGCCCAACTTTCACACTTGTACGTAGTGATCAGGAATACAATATAATCTTGGTCTTAGTTTCCAATGGCACAACCTTATACTTGAAGATCTTTTCTAATTCCTTTATTGCTGCCCTTCCAGGTCTCAGTCTTTTTCTGATTTCTTGGCTGGAATCTCCATTTGGATTGATGATTGAACTGAGGTATCCAAAATCCTTAACAATTTCAGCGTCTCCATTGTGAATATTAATGAATGTAATTCTTCTGTAGTCATGCTGTTATCTTTGTGACATTCAACTACAGTCCTGCTTTGGCGCTTATTTTTTTCATCTTCCTCAGGAGTCCTTTCAAAGTGTTGGTGTTTTGTGACAATACAGAGGCCTGCATGCCCTACCATTTGTAGCACCTCCCAGATTTTGATGCTGGGCCTGGCAACAATGCCATTGCTAGGAGAGGAGGACAAAAGTCACCATGTGCTAAGACCCAGTTGTTCTCCTCCACCCCAGTCCTCTGATTTCACTGGCATGTGTGCTCATCACATGTGTCTCAAACTTGACCAGCAGGGCAGTGAAGGCTGAGATGCCCAAACTGCAACTTAGAGCTTTGCCTGCTAAGGTTACGAATGGTGGCATAACCTCCACTTAAAATATTTGTGTGCTGGATTCTAAGGTTTCAACTACCTTCTCAAGAGGGAAAATGTTTTTGCAAGCACAGACATTGGCAATATTCCCTTCTGTTTTTTCTCATCTGGAAATGGGATCTCAGCTGTCATAAAGCCAATTCTTTCAAATTTCATATTGCTCACACCACTCTTGTCACTACTTTTGTATAGTATCTCCTCTTACACCTAAACATATCTCATTTTGTGAGCAGACAAGACAACCAAGCTCTTCACTGCTGAAATACTGCCACCAATTATGCATCTCCCATTAAGGTCTGTTAACCACAATGAATCTCAAGGCAATCCATGGCATTCTGTGTTTCTTTTTCCCACCTGTTCGGAAGCTGCACAAAAGACCCTCTGGGCTGCACAACTCCTGGGATAGACCAACTTTTTGGTTCCAGATGTTTTTGGCTAGGCATGATGAGACTTGTAGTCCAACAACATCTGGGGACCCAAAGTTGAGAGAGGCCGGTTTAGACTGTGAAAAAAAAATCTAAAGGTTCATTGCAAGATACAAGTTAATGGATAGATATTATACTCACAGTACTACGAAGCGCAGATAGTACAGATTCTTCAGCAATCCCGAGCTGCCCAAGGGCCTAGAAAAACCAGCCAGAGAGATCAGAATGATCATTATGGCAGCTTCTTCTGATTCCAGTGCCAGGGCATCAGACTGGCTCAGAACCAGGAAGGATACTGCAGAGAGACTTTCCCCACCCCTACCTTGGAAAACATAAATGGAAGCAAAAAATACATAGCTATTTTCAGAAAGTGTTTCCAAAGGACAAACACCAAACCCATACTCAGCTGCTTACTTTGGTGAGCCCCCTGCACTTTGAGAAATAGCTGTACAGCCCTTGCCATTCTCTCTTCTCTGAAGCAACACCCATCCACCTGGAACAGGTGAGGTATGCTCCAGATGTGTGACTCAGTTTCTGAAAGAGCACAGTACAGGTAGGGAGTGTGGAGTTCTATTCCTACTAGCTCCACTTCTTTATCTCGGGGGAGGGGAGGACTTAAAGAAGCAAGCATAAAAGTTATGCACGGTTTTATCAAGTGATATTTTACTTACATTAACGGTAAGTGATGGATTGATGGATCCAGCCAGATGGCACTACACTGATGGATCACAGGACAAAGTAGATGGAAAAACACTGCAGGTATTACCAGTTTTCCATGTTAACGGAAAATTAGAGGGAATGTTGCTAGTGGCTGATGTGCACAAAGTTGAAAGGGAAGAACCACATGATGTAGAATGTGCAGTTTTAGAAAGTGGATTTAGAAAGCAGCACTTAAAGGACTGGGAAGAAATAGATTCCTGAAAGTAGATTTGTTTGTTTGTTTGTTTGTTTGTTTGTTTGTTTGTTTGTTTGTTTGTTTGTTTGTTTGTTTGATTGATTGATTGATTGATTGATTGATTGATTGATTGATTGATTGATTGATTGATTTCTACCCCACCCCCCCCAGACAGCTGTCGGGGGGGCAGCTTACAAATATCATAAAATATCATAAAAAACATAAAAACATCATAACATTAAACAATTAAATCAATAATATGGTGTAAGATGGGATATGGATAAGATGGGATATCAATATACCACTCCAAGCAACAAATGCCGAATCTACTAAATTCTAACACCTGTATGCCAACATACAGGAAACAAAACAGTAGTCCGCAGACTGGAAATGTTCAGCTTACATTCTAGTCCCCGAGAAAGAAGACAGCTGCAGTATCTATAGGGCATTGTATTGATGTTCCATCCAGGCAAAGTGATGATCAAGGTGTTGCAACAAAAACTTTTACTGTATACGGAACAAGAAATGCCAGCCAGTTAAGTTGGATTCAAAAGACAGAGAAGCACTAGAGACCATTGTGCAAATATACCTTGGCCACTGGAGTATACCAATTTGTGGGTTCATGGGGTCTTCTCTTTATAGTTATTTCATGATTGGAAACCACCCAGTGCCACTAGATGGTGCAATACTGAAATATAATGAATGAACAAATGAATCTATCAACAAATGAATGAATGAATGAACCAAAGAATTTCAGAAAAATGACTCGGTAATTTAGAGACTATAACAAAGTCTTTGACTGTGTGAATCATGAGAAGCAATTGATTTTTCTAAGAGAAATAGGACCCCTTTAACTTTTGATTATCCCAATACATGACCTGTACCCTGGACAAGAAGCTGTTAGAACAGAATGCAAAGAAATATAGTAAGCAAAGGTGTCAGACAAAGGTGTATTTTATCTCCCTGTCTGTATGCAGAATATATCATACCAAAAGCAAGGCTAGGTTTACTATTAATAGTTGAAGAAACAGCAATAATTTAAGATAGGTAGAGGAACACCATCTTACTAGCAGAAAGCAGCAATACTTAAAATGATTTTCAATGAAAGAAGAAAATGCCAAAGCAGGACTACAGCTGAATGTTACAAAGAGAGAGAGAGAGAGAGAAAACATGACTGCAGAAAAACTACTTCACTGCTGACAATGAAGAAACTGAAATTGTTAATGGGTTTTTTTATTAGTTCACTAAAAATAGAGACCACGGCCAAGAAATCAGAAGACTGAGACTCAGAAAAGAGAAAGAAAACATGACTGCAGAAGAACTACTTCACTGCTGACAATGAAGAAAATGAAATTGTTTATGGGTTTTTTTTTAATTAGTTCAGTCATCACAAAAAATAGAGACTGCAGCCAAGAAATCATAAGACTCAGAAGGGCAGCAAATAACAAATTTAAAAAGATAATCAAGTGTAAGGAAGTGTCACAGCAGCAAATTACAAATTAAAAAAGATAATCAAGTGTAAGGAAGTGTCACTGGAGACCAAAAAGATCCATACTCTTGTATTCCTGATCACTATGTACAGGTATGAAATCTGGACAGTAAAGAAACCTGATGGGGGGGAATAATTTGAAATGTGTTGGAAAAAACAGATTTCAGAGTTAATTCTAGAGAGACAAATAAGTGAATTCTAGATAAAATCAAACCTGAACTCTCTCTAAAAGCAAAAATTACTAAACGAAGGCTATCGTGCTTCAGGCACATCATGAAATGACAAGATTCATTGGAAGAGAAATTTATGCTGGAAAAAGTGGAAAGCAAGAGGAAAAGAGGAAGAGTAAATAAGAGATGAACTGACACCATAAAGGAACCACAGCCTTGACTTTTCGAAAGATTAGCAGGGCTGTTGATGGTAGAGTTTCTGGAGGTCATAAGCTCATCATAAATTGAAAGTGACTTCATAAGAACAATGTGGTCTCTGGTATGAAATCTGACACTTTGAAGATCCTGAGAATGTTATGACTTTCAAAAAAATTGCATATTAAATATGAGAACTTGAGTAGACTTTCTGCTAAAGCAATCTTGTCAAGCTGCTGCTTTCCAGATGTGTTGGATTACAACCTCCAGCATTCTCAACAAGCATCAAGTTGGAGAGAGAGACACTAAAACCTTTGCAAAGTTCTAGACTGACATTTGAGTTTACCTGAGCTGCATATAGTTGATCAAGTTCCACAGGGGAAGTTAAGTACTTCATGAGAACCTGCAGGCACACAGAAAAATAATCATTTTTTTAAAAAGTTATATTATATGAGAGAGAGAGAGAGAGAGAGAGAGAGAGAGAGAGAGGAAAAAAAGAATTGAAATATTTTGAAAGGATCACAGCTTTCTTATGAGTGGTCATTACAAGACATCTGAGAAGATTCTGGTGGCAAGCAGGTCTTGGGCCACCGAATGATACAATTAAGCCTCATTAAAGACTATGCTTCAAAATTGCTTAGTCAGTATCTGCTGACAGAGTGAAAAGTCCACCTCTGAGCACAGATTCATTGTACGATCTTTCTCTCTTTCAGCCTCTATTTCATACCTGCAAAAATGACATACTGTACATGGATTGTTGTGAAAATTAATAAACACACTTAAGACATTAAAAGGGCTACGTAAATGAAAAACGGTAAAATCCCACTGAAATCAGCAGACCCCCACAAACATAGCACTGATTTCAGCTCTTTTCTCTTCTTCACAGGAAGAGCCCTCTTTACAGACATCACTGCTATCAATCAGAAGCATCCATTTCAGAACCCCAACAGTTAAGAGATTATAAGGAGGATCTTAATATCTTTGCTGAGAAATAAGCTCTTGCTAAGAGTTTGTAAAGTGAACTAAAATCTTAGACCTATGGGCCTGGGAATAAACCCATTGAACTCCACAAAGCCTACCTCTCAATAGACATGCATATGAGTGAGCTTTTGTGCTCCAAAACCTATGCATCAACCAAAAAGCTCCTTTTAATTTACCACAGAGCTAGACATTCTTCCTGTCACTTATGCACTGGCTGTCCAGAGTGCATTTCCTATTTCTGCTATGGCGGCCCCAGTAAAAGCAGAATACTGAGCCAGAATTCTGTTCCTCTTTCAGTTCCACAAGGTGGACCAGTGCAAATCCATCCCTCACTTGCATTTGTTTTTGTTATTTCCCAATCCTGCTAAACTAAAAACATTTCCTTTGTAAATTTATTGGCACTTACAGTTTCAAAACCATTTTTTAATGTTTTAGTAAGTTTTCTCACTTGCTGCTTCTGAAAACTCCTCCATGTGAATCCCACCACATTGCCAGTCAAGAGCTATGTGGCTGGGAAAAGGAGATGACTTAACACTGATGGATCAATAAGTTTACCATCAGAGAATAATTACTGATTGGCCACCAATTGCTGATTGCCTGTACTCTGACCTGTTGGAAAGTTCTCTGGCCTAGCTCAAAGGGGCAGCAGCAGCAGCAGCAGCAGCAGCAGCAGCAGCAGCAGCAACAACAACAACAACAACAACAACAACAATAAAAGAAAGGTGCTCTCTTCCTGCTCAGAATTCTGGGTGGTTTTGCTCAGAGTTCAGAAACACAAAACAAAAAGTCTGCTAGAAGGCATCATACACTTATTCAGGTGTCAGCCAACCAAACACTTTAAGGGGCACTGTTGAGTTGCGTTCGAATGTATCCGAATGTATGGGATTAGTCACAGTGTGCAATAGTGAGTCTGGGCAACATCTGGCCTTTCAAATCGTATGAGACTACCACTCTCATCGGCCCTGTTCAACATCTGGAGAGTCAACAGCTGCCCTCTCCGTCCTACAGAGATGAAGCTAAAATTCTCAATCAGGCCCTCACTAGATATCATAAATGTGTTTTGATTTCTGACCTTGAGCCTTTCTGGTTTCAGGTTTTCCTCCCACATATAGATCTCTTTCGATTTAATCTTTGCTAATTTAACAAACTTCAAGAGGGAGAAGTCAGACCTGAGTGAAAGGAGAGACATCATTGTAAAATATCTGAAAGCTAGTTTACAACGTACTTGACGCTTGCATACACAAAAGAACCTAGTCATACAGAGGATGGGCAGGATCTGTTCTGATTCAAGAGTGCAGGACATGTAATAATAGGCTTATGCTACAGGAAATCAGATTTTGGATGAATATTGGGAAAAACGTCTTAACTGTTAGAGCAGTACAACAATGGAACCAGTTACTTTGGGAGATGGTGAGTGCTCCAGTGCTGAAAAATTGGACAATCATCTGTCAGATCTCCTTTGATTTGGATTCCTGCACTGAGCAGAGGGTTAGCCTCAATGGCCATATAGGCCCCTTCCAACACAGTTATTCTATGAACCACATAGCACTGCCAGATTCTCAGACAGCTTAAAGAAGGAAAGAAAAACATTACGTCTGCAGCAAATACAGAACAAGCCGCTGTTTCTCTTTCCAACCAATTTGCTCAGTAGTCACTCTCATGCCCAACAACGCTTGTGCCCCTCAAATTCCTAAGTCAAGTGTGGGGAACCTAGGTCTTATAGCTGCTTTGGCCTCCTGCTCTCAGACGCCCCAGCCAAAACGTGGCCAACAGTAAGGGACTATGGCATAGCCATAGGTTCTCCAGTCCCAGCAATTCCCGGTACTTAGAATAACTAAAATCATGGTAAATAAAGAATAAAATGGGGTGGTGTCCTGAGCTGACCTCTTTGACAAAAACATGGGATCCGTGATATGTTAGCACCACCTGCTGGATAGATGAAAGAGCAGAAATATGAGGTTCCTCATATGAGCAACGTAGCAATTCTCAAAAAGGTCATAATAGTCTGTTCCAAATTACCTTTGAAGACCTTTTGGAAATTGCAGCTGGTTCAAAATGTTGCAGCCAGACTGCTGGTGGGCATTGGTTAATGGGAGCACATGATTCCCTTATTACAATGGCATCACTGCCTGTCAGTTTATATCTGGGCTCAATACCATACCGCTGATTATTATCTACTGTATAAAGCCCTATATGGTTTGGGTCCAGGATATTTGAAGTCTCTTATTACTCAATAGGAACCTTCTCGGCTATTAAGATCTTCTGGGGAGGCCCTTCTCTCGGCTGCACCACCTTCCCAAGCTCATTTGGGGGGACACGAGAAAAGTCCTTCACAGCGGCTGCTCCCAGGCTTTGGAATGAGTTGCCTCGAGAAGCCAGGTTGGGCCCCTCCCTCTCATCCTTCTGTCGTCAGGCAAATACCTTCTTTTTAAAGGCAGGCTTTTAAGGAATAAGTTGTCTCAGGAATGCATTGTTTGTATTCGCGAAGGCTTTTACGGCCGGGATCTAATGGTTGTTGTGGGTTTTTCAGGCTCTTTGGCCATGTTCTGAAGATTGTTCTTCCTAACGTTTCACCAGTGTCAGTGGCCAGCATCTTCAGAGGATGTAAACAGTCTCTGTGGTAAACAGACTCTGTGGCTGGGGAGGTCACAGGGCAAGGGCCTGCGTGTCACAGAGACTGGCGAAACATTAGGAAGAACAACCTTCAGAACACGGCCAAAGAGCCCGAAAAACCCACAACAACCAATGCATTGTTTGTTTATTAACAGATTTGTAAATTCTTTTCAAATGTTTTTAAATTATTTTTGATCGTGGTTTTAATCTTCTGATACTTATCTGTTGATATTTATATCTGTTGACACAGAGAGTATTAGTCTGATGAAAACAGTCAAGAACATAGCACGGCCACCAGGAAAAATCTGAGGGAAGAGACTATTAAACTTGTATCTTCCCTGAAATCTAAAAAATTCTTCAAGGTTCAAACAAGCATTTTGTTGACTTTGCTTTATTCCTGAATCTGTATGGTTCTCTGAATTTGTGGCACTGTTCGTTCTGTTTTATTCTGGGCCAGGCTTGCCTACCTCACCACCACATCTGCATGCCTGAGTCAGAACCCAAAACTGATAGATAAAAAGACAAGGGAGTATTTTGTTAGAGGTGGAAGCTTTGCATCCCATCTCTTACTTCTTCTTTGCGGCCTTGGACTTTGCCTTTTCCAGCTTCTTTCGATAGATACATTGCTTCTCCAATCTAGCTGGGTCAGGCTGCTCAACGATTCTAGGCTGGATGAAGTGCGGCTGAGGTGTATATGTTCTCCACTCTGAGGGACTTTGTGGGTAAGTTATACGAGGATTCTAGGGAGAAAGAGAAAAATTAGCAAGATGGCAATGAGTACCAAGGACCTGTAGCCTCACTTAGGACTGAGATCTCATTTCTCAGAACACTTAAATCAATATACAAACCGTGGTCTAGGTGTTCCCTCCTTTAAATCAGACAGTACATTATTATTTCACTTCCTCTTCCAGAAAGGCTACTTCATCGTTCATCCTTCTTGGACCTCCATTTCCAGGAGCTTCCACTCTGCATCTTTTGACTCATACACCAATTCTGCACAGAAACTGAGGACCGAAGGCCAAACTACATATTCCAGATAGCCCATCATCAGAGCTGAAATCAGGCCAACATTTAAGGGGTATGATGGAGGGATCAGACTTATAAAAGAAAATTATGCTTCTAGTCTTCAGACCAATCACAAAGCATGAGCAAGTTAATGTCCATGATTACAGGAGATGGGAAAGATCTTGTGACACACAACCAACACTTAAGAACTGCACTCCATTAAGGAAGAGTTATCTGTGGCATTTAGTGGGATCTAGAAAAGGTCTATAGGGGCCGGAAAGACTTAAGAATTAACCCGTCTCTAACAGTTCGACAATTTGTGTGCCGTTGATGCCAATTTCTAGCAAGGGGCTTTCATTAGGATGAGTGAGAAATGTAGGGAGGAAAGCCATGTGGCTGGCAGAGCAGGTGCTAAGCATGCGTTAGGTAAAGTTCACCTTCCTCAGATTTATAGTGGCATTAAATTGTAGCTGTTCCTGGAGAACAAGCAGGTTTGCCCAGAAAGAAGGTGACAGGCAAACTGGGATCTACAGGTAGATCTATAGGTGGGCTGGAGGTTTATGACAGCCAACTAACATCAGAAAATATAACAGGATCTGTCTTTTCACCTTAGGCTGGCTCTGTAAGCCGGGCAGGGAAACAAGGAAGAATGGATCTGAAAAGTACAACAAAACTTTCTTTTAAAGCCATGATAATCTATTTCAGCAACATCAAAAAGAACCCAGAATATAGCAAAAAGAAAAAAAAAAGCATTATGGCACCTGTAAAACTAACACATTGATTTCAGTTTCAGCTTTCAAATATTACAATTAACTTCTTTGGATACTTGAAGATGTGGCCTGTACAAAAGTTTGCATGGAAAGAAATTTGCTAAGCCATTTTTGGGACTGCAAACGAATCCGTGCATTTGGGGCAAACTCTTGACATCCGTTGTTACATAATTTAAAGTGTATTTCTAAGTTCTTAAACCCCTGTTTGGAAGTTGGCTACAGTAGGTGGACTTCAGAATTCTAGCAAAAAACATCTTGACAGGCAAACATACAGAGTATATCTTGTTTTCTTCCTCTACTCTAATGCTTGTAGTCGTAGCAACAGAGTGAACTGTTATCCTATATAATCTGCTTTCTCAAGAACTATGGGTCCCAGAATCTCTGCAGTATTTCCTGTGCCAGCCTTCTCCCTCTCTCTTGGCAACATCCAGATTTGTTGGACTACATACAATTCACTTATCTCCTCAGAAAATTATATGAGTTTCTGATGGTAGTGTCTTCCATTTGAGTCCTTTCAGGTGTTTGTGAATCACGTCTTTCATATTTTCCACTTTTACTAAAGGAAGAAAGGGTGAGAAAGGTGGAGTAGCTGAACAATGATTTTTTTCGGGTAGCACTAAAAGTCCTGTATCTCAAAATGCCCCCGCAGAGGACTAAAAGAGTCTTTGAACTGGATATCAGGCATCCTGATATATGTGAGAGAGCGGGAATCTGAAAGTTACAGCAATAGTTCTCATACCTGGTGAAAGGAGTCCCTCGGCATTCTGAGCTCAATGGCTCTCAGGGCCTCTAAAAAAAGAGAGAGAAGGGGTGAAACTTCATCTTTCTTCAAAACAGTTAATTCAGACGCAATCAACTTTTTAGCTGTTTAAGTGCAATAAAGCTAATTCTTAAAAAAAGAAGAAAAAGAGGTTACCTACCTGTAAAACTTTTTAGCTGTTTAAGTGCAATAAAGCTAATTCTTTAAAAAAAAGAAGAAGAAAAAGAGGTTACCTACCTGTAACTCTGGTTCTTCAAGTGGTCATCTGTGAATGCACACTAATGGGTTAATCTGTGCTTGCGTGGAGCAGCCTTGGAACTTTCTAGCTTGAGCACATGGTGCCAGGACCTTCCCCCATGCTAGCTATAACTCCGCCCCTGGCACCAGGTGCCTCAGTTCCATGGAACCGACTGCCGCTGCACAGCATGCAATGACACACGTGATGTACAGCAGGGAGGAAGGGGCAGGGAGTGTGAATTCACACATTACCACTCAAAGAACCAGAGTTACAGGTGGGTAACCTCTTTTTCTTCTTCATGGTCTCTGTGAATGCACACTCAAGCTAGAAAGTTCCAAGGCTGCTTCACGCAAGTGCGGATTAACCCACTAGTATGCATTCACAGAGACCATGAAGAAGAACACTAAATATCAAATACAGTGGTGCCCTGCTTTACCCTGCTTGATGACAAATCCGCTTCACGACAATGTTTTTGCGATTGCTGTTGCGATCGCAAAACGATGTTTTAATGGGCAAAATCCTCTTTACAACGATTGGTTCCCTGATTCTTTGGGAACTGATTCTTCGCATTACGATGATCAAAACAGCTGATCGTCAGGTTTTCAAAATGGTCGTCGGCTTTTCAGAATGGCTCCCTGCTGTGTTCAGGACGGATTTTTCACAGCACAGGCATTGGAAAATGGCCGCCCTATGGAGAATCTTCGCTGGATGCTGAGGTATTTCACCCATTGGAACACATTGAACCGGTTTTCAATGCATTTCAATGGGCTTTTTTATTTCGCTTGATGAGGATTTCGCTCTACAGCGATTTCGCTGGAATGGATTATCCTCATCAAGCGAGGCACCACTGTACAGTAGAATCCTCACATCCACAGGATCAGTATCCATAGTTTTAATTATTCATAATCTGAAAAAAATTTAAAATATTAAAAGAAAAATCCAGAAAAAAAATTCACATGTATTACCAGAACAGGCCACCAGAGGGAGCCAATATTTCACATATATTACCAGAACAGGCCACCAGAGGGAGCCAGATACCATGCTATGGATACTTGTTAGTGAATAATACTGTATGTAGCATGGTCTCTGGGGCCCTCTAGTGGCCAGTTCTTGGAATGCATGTGAAAATAATTATGCTATTCAATTTTCCTAGGCTCTGGCATTAATCATACATGCTTTTTCCTTGATGATTCCTTTTATTCGGTTACTTAACCACACTCCAGAAAAATATAAAGTATTTTTCTACTTCCAATCATGCACCCAGAATAGTCCATCCTTTATAAAGAAGCAGGAAAAGTCCATTTTTATTTGGATCCAGTACAATAGATCCATTGTAAAAAGATATGAAATGCTAGCTATTTTTTACAACCTGCACCCTCTATAGGAAACATACACCCATGATTCCTTGAAACATACCTTTAGTATCTGGTTTCTCAATCACGGGTTTCCATAATAATTTCCGAGACACTCTAGCCCCAGAAGTTATATCTGGGAGCATCTTTGACCCACCCATTTTGAAATGTTCGACTGAAATTCCTGGGCTTTGATCTAAGGAATCACTTCAGATGCTGTTGGATGAAATATAATGCAGCAGGCATTTGGGATTTCTTGAAGAGACTGAGAGGCAGTAATGATGTCATAAACCATTACTATGATTAAACTCTCCTGTTACATATAACACCCCCCCCCAAATAATGATGACTCAATTTCAGATCTTTCTGGTTGAATGGCTAATTGCTTGAATCAATTTCATTTTGATTTTCATCTGGTGTGAGGACCGAAATGGCCTTGGTCAACTCCTGGAAGATCTATTCTGGGAGATTATCCACCAGAATAGACTCACCAGGAGAATTGTATCCCCATCGATTCTGCTGGATCTCTTAGTATATTTCTGTACCATTGAACACAGAATCCTTCTGGGCCATTAGGACTGGGTGGGGCTTGAGTGTCCCATTTTATAGTGGTTCCAGCCTTTCCTGAAGGACAGATTTTGGAAGATGGTGCTGGGGAACTAATTCTTGATCCCTTGGTTGACCCTATGCCATGAGATTTCGTATTGTCCAGCATGTTAGTTAACAACTATCCGAGTGCGGATGCTGATAATAGTTGCATCTCTTATTCCATCTTTCCTCCAAAAAGCTCAAGGCAGCATGCGTTGCTCTCTGTTCTGATTCTACACAGACCCACCCCTGTGTTGTAGTCTGCAGTGCAGGCTATGCAGTTCCACTCCAGAGACTGGACAGCTAAGACAGAGTCAGAGAAAAAACGAAAGAAAGCCTAGCCCTCTCAGGGAGCTAGTCCATTCCATGCAGGAGGGTTCCAAAGTCACACAGCAGTCCAGGATCTAACCAGTCCAGTCCCTGATTCTACACAGCCCCACCCCTGTGTTGTAGTCTCAGGGAGCTAGTACATTCCAAGCAGGAGGGTTCCAAAGTCAAACAGCAGTCCAGGATCTAACCAGTCCAGTCCAAATGGCAAGCAGGCAAAGACTGTACAAGAGGGGAAGTCACACACAGTCCAGAATCACACACAGCATGGTAATCATGATTAGAGTCTGGATATAAGGAACAAAAAAGGAAGTCTAGAGGTTAAGAACAGTCTTGTGAGCTTGATCAGACTGAAAGCTTAGATTATGATGATGATGAAGACGACAACAAGCACCCCACCTCAGATGCTGGCTATTCAGCATCTTCGTGAATTTACTCCTGCTCCCAAGAGAGCCAGGTGATGATGATGATGATGATGAAGACGACAATAACAAGCACCCCACCTCAGATGTTGGCTATTCAGCCTCTTTGTGAATTTACTCCTGCTCCCAAGAGAGCCACTAAGTTATGAGGAGACCTTCCACAGAGCCAGCCACTCCTTCTAATGGTCTGAAGTCCAGACTTTACTAAGTATTGCTCTTACAAATGGTGAAGGGGTCCAGTGTCCTCATCCAAGTCTGTGCTGTGTTTGCTGCATATAGGGAGGGGTGAAGCCTTCTTTACCCCTGTGGGCCCTGGATCCATGGGGACTTCTCAGTCTTTGCCATTCCCAGTTTCAGAGGGCTTGAACTCCTCTTTGCTGGAACGACATTCTGGCAGGACGTAACACTCTTCTCCTCTTGATATTCCCTTCACAACAACCCTTCATGCCAACTCATCCGTGTTTCACAGCTGAGTGGGAACAAATATGGACCTTCAAATCTGAAGTCTAACACCTAACCACTACAACACATTGGTTTTCATTAAATTAATGGAGTGGGGGAGGACAGCCCGGTGTTTAGCATCTGTGGTTATCAAAATGTTCTTCTCTTTTTCCATCTCATTCTAGACAGATCGTGTGGATTCTGAATATATGCCTGAGATCAACCCTGGACTGATGCACTTAATAATTTAAAGTTTAATACTGACCACAAAGCAGTGCTTCTGGTTAGTTTGACTATTGTTCTACTGATATTCTGCCTCTTTTGGATAATGTTGCAGTCCTCTCTTTAACATACAAGGGGGCAGGTGAAGAGTGGTTTTTAGTCTGCTTTCAGGATCTGGTGATTCCCCTCCTCTGCTCGGACCACAGAGCATCTATGATATGAATATACCAATAAGTCAGTATAAATGCCTTACCTATTTTGACAGGAATAGGAGTAGATGAGGAATAACCAATCCGGAAAATTTTCAACTTTAGTGTACTGACTTGTCCATCTTGTGCACGAGGTGCTATCAGGTCAGAAGTGACTTACAGTGAGCCAAACAGGGTTTTCAAGGTAAGTGAGATATTTAAGGAGAGGTTTACCAGTACCACTGGGACCTGGTGGCGCTGCGGGTTAAACTGCTGAAGCCTCTATGCTGAAAGGTCAGAAGACCAGCAGTCGTAAGATCGAATCCACGCAATGGAGTGAGCTCCCGTTGCTTGTCCCAGCTCCTGCCAACCTAGCAGTTCTTGAAAGCATGTAAAAATGCAAGTAGATAAATAGGTGCCACCATGGTGGGAAGGTAACGGCGTTCCGTGTCTAGTCGCGCTGACCACATGATCATGGAAGTTGTCTACGGACAAACGCTGGCTCTACAGCTTAGAAATGGTGATGAGCACCACCCCCTAGAGTCTGACATGACTGGACTAAATGTCAAGGGGAACCTTTACCTTTACCTTTACCAGTACCAATCTTTAATCACTTTCCACAAGGGAGCAGGGAATTTGAACCCAGATCTCCCGAGCGCTAGTCTATCAATCTATCCACCACGCCACACTGGATCTGTGCATCTTATTGCATGATATGTGCCCTTCTGTTTTCTATACATATGGCAAAGAGGTCAGTTTCTTGACAGCAGAATAAATGGACACTACTGTCGGCATATGGATAAGACAATACAGTAATGCTAGGAAAAGTTGAACGCAGAAGAAGAAAAGGAAGAACAAACATGAGACGCATTTACTCCATAAAGTAAGCCACAGCCTTGAGTTTGCAAAATTTACTCCGTAAAGTAAGCCACACCCTTGAGTTTGCAAGATCTGAGCACAACTGTGGAGGACATACCGGAGGCCACTCATTCATAGGGTCACCATGGGTTGGAAAGGACATACTGGAGGCCACTCGTTCATAGGGTCACCATGGGTTGGAGGAGACCTGACAGCCCATAACAATGTGAGACCAGAAACTGCAATATTTTTAAATGGCGGGAGAAAACTTCAGCTTCTCAGGATACTCTGTCACTGATTTTACTCGATAGACAATTCAGTTGCAATTCATCAGGAAGCTTTGGTCTGTGATCCGTGGCATGGATCAGGATAACACTTTCTTATCACACTGCATGCGCTAAGGCCAGGAGGTTTGTGTTCTCAGATGGCAATAAGGTTTTATGAGCAGCCACTTGTTCATAATGCAATTGTTTGCATTTCCTGCACTGAATTCCCCTCTCGCTTCACTGTCTACAAACTCAACACCATCTTGCCATGACATTCTTGACCATGTCCTGTGCATCCGATGGATTTAGCTGTGGTTCATGAAAGTTCAGCTGTAAAAAAAAATGTGTTAGGCTTTAAGTTACCACAGGACTCCTTGATTTAGAAACTGACCTGAGCAAAACGTATAAAAGATGTGGAATGGGAACAGAAGTCTTCTGTCCTTCTGCCAGGTGTGTATATATGTGGAGGAGGGCAGAGTTCAGGTCATATGACCATGCTCCATGTTACACCAAAATGCAGGTGACTCAGCCTGTCCCTACACTTACCAAAATACTATCTTCTGCTTCTTTTAATAGGGAACTATTAGGATACATGGGCTGAAATCCTGTTGCTTAGCTAGTAAGCCACGCTAGAGTAAGCCCATTGAAACAGTGGGGATTCAGCTTCTCCATAAGTTCCCTTCGTTCAATAGATCCATTCTAGCTGTGACTTACTACACTAAGCAACAATTCAATAGATCCATTCTAGCTGTGACTTAGTACACTAAGCAACAGGATTTTATCAATGGAAGCAATGGCTATCTAGACACACACACACACACACACGAGCTTTTCTCCTGTATAACTAGCCCTAATGCGTGAGCTTTTCTCCTGTATAACTAGCCCTAATTTTATTTCATTCTCACAAGGGGCCTCTTTACATGCGGGTAAACAACAAGAGGAATGTGTTCATATTAAATCAGACAAGGGAACTCTGAAAACAAACTGTATCTTGCATCTAAATCTACTAGCGTTTTGCTGTTACAGACCATTTAAACTGTGCAAAGGGAACAATGCCAGAGGCTTGGCTGTTTTATGTAATCTTGATTATAACAGCACAGAAACCTGATGTAAACACACTCAGAAACCTAGATATGTCTGTACTTCAGTCCTCCAGAGGATTTTCTCTTTAAAATTAGTCCACATAAACTCTATATTAGAGTTAAAATACTTCTGAATGCAGTGCTTACAGTTTATACCATACACTATATCACAGTATATAGAGGTAGGAGTTCATCTTATTTAGTATGCACAGATACAAGTCTGGCTCAAGATATTCTGCTGCTATCTGGGAGCCTCCTTCCCCCACTCACAAGGCAGAAGCAGACTTGGTTTGTGTGTGTGTGTGTGTTTAGTCGTTTAGTCGTGTCCGACTCTTCGTGACCCCATGGACCAGAGCACGCCAGGCCCTCCTGTCTTCTACTGCCTCCCGGAGTTGTGTCAGGTTCATGTTGGAGACTTGGTTTACAGCTACGGTAAATCCCATTCCAGCACTAGAAACAGGACCCACTGTGTCTGAGGACAGCGGGGAAAATTAGGGGGCACAAGGCAGGCCACGTGGCACACAAAACTGTCCTTCAGATCTCTCACTGCGGTTCCCAACCTGCCAGCATATCCCATCTGAGGCAACTCCCTCACTTTACCTAATGGTAAGGCTTGCCCAGTGCAGAATGGCAGGGTTCCTGTGTGTGCAACAGTGTGTTATACTGGAAACAGTGATTTAGCACATCATCATCAGGAATTTCTGTACACCTTCTTATAGATAACAATGCAGAAAAGGGGAAAAAATAGAAAATATTAAGTTGCAAACATTAAATATGAACCTTCAAATAATACATTAAAACAATTAACATTTCTCTATGCCGTCTTATAGATAACAATGCAGAAAAGGGGGAAATTG